TCCTCTGCTTCACAAACATTCTGCTCAAAATTCATTGGTGGCAGGCAGGCCAGAAGTGGTGGCCGGTCGGTTGCTGTTCAACACTGATGGCCTATCGGCCAGTAACAGTGACCGGCCACTGACGATGCACTATTCCTTGTTGCAACAGAGAGCAAACAAGGCAAAGAGAGGGTATTCTCACAAGTTGTTTGTACTATGTATCCCTCTTTATCATCAAAACATCTCAAAGGAGTGACACACTTGGTCCTCAAACCATCAATTCAAGCAATTTCATTGCATGATGGTTAAGGAACCAAGATGTACAAGTTCAATAAATGCACAAACAAGACCCAAAACCTTCACCCTATCATGCATGATCAAGAGCAATGGTGACTTTAGAAAATTGGCACATTTCATCGCTTTGAGTATGAAATGTCCCAATTTTCTTTGTGTTCAAATTAACATTTGATTTGAACACACCAAAACACAACCAAATGCTTATCTTGCACAATTTTAGTTTCCATTTTTTTATTTACTCATTTTAATTTACCATTCTGTTCTTTAACCAATTAAGTCCATTGGTGAGTAAGTCCTCTAAAAGAGAAAGAAGTGCCAAACAAGGGGTAGTTTAAGGAAAGAGAGAGGTGTCATGCCGTTGATAATGAACCCTCAAAAAAGGATTAAACCATTAAGCATGGACCTCAATCTCAAGCTTAAACTATCCTAAGGTTAAAACAACCCTCAAAGCAAATAAAAAAAGTCAAGAAATGAGTGAGGTTGCAGAGATTAATTAGTGCTGAAATTAAGTGATAAAAATACTAAAGCATGCAATCAACTCAAACAAGTGGTGTCTAAAGGTCTAAAATACCAAGCTTGTGAGGACACTTACACTAGAAGCATACAAAATAAGATTCAAATGACTTAACCAACCAAAAACAAAGGCAAAACAGTCTGACATACAACCTAAAAATGCTGGAATTAAGCTACAAAAGGCTAGAAAAATACGTTAACACATGGAGCTAACTAGGCTAGCAAACACGACACAAGGAGGGAAGGCTAACCTTTCCAAATTTGGACTTCAAAACATGATTTTTACCACTGAAAATACTCTGAAATTCAGTGTTCAAAAGCCCAAAAAAAGATAGTTTGAACATGGGAAACTAATGTGAAAAGGCTTTACAAACAAGGAATAAAGAAGGGTGAGCCACCCCCAACCTTAAATAGCCTAAAACCACTAATTTCAGCCCACAAAAAAATGGAGTTTTTTAAAGCTCAAAAACAGCCTAAAATCAATGGGAAAAGATAGAAAAACAAGTATGCAAAGTAAGCTAAAAAGGCAAGTATTATACCTCTTGAAGCAAAGATCAACTTTAGGCAACAATTCAAGCCAAAACCACCTTCTAGAGCTCTAAGAAGGACTCAACGAACCTCAGCTCAAAGATGATCAACTTTGGTTAAGGAAGTGTAGGCAAAAGTCTGGTGTATGAATTCTAATGTGCACAAATTTACAAGAGAAAGAGAGAGAAATTTTTGCTCCAAAATTTCTAACCCTAAAAAATGGGTGAGGGGACCCCCCTAGAAAAATATGCATTTGGCTAAGATATACCCATCCATACATGTGTATGGAGATGAAGCCCATTGTGCCAACAGCTGGAATAGTTGTCAACAAAATATTTCAAAAAAGACACTGATGGCTAGCAGGCCACACCATTAGCCGGCAAGGCACAAGGGTGGCTAACAGCCCACCAGAGGAGGCCTGTAGGTCCCAGGGTCTTGAGGTTTGAAACACTAAGGTTTTGATCCAAAACAAGGCATAGAATGAACGGGGTCTAAAGGCTCAAAGGCAGGGCATTCTGCCGAGGTCTTCGGGCACTAAAACGAACATATGCAATCATAATCATTGAGTGCACAAGCAATGACGTCCAAGTCTTGAGGACGGTCAAAAATGGGGTGTCTAGAAACAACTCTTGAATCATAACTAAAATAATGTCATAATTAATAAGGCACTCAGGCGCTAAATCCACTTTCGGCTTTTCTTTGTCCAAAGATCTAGGCGCTAAAACATTATATGTATAAGGACAAACTCAAGTAAAATGACCAAAAACCCTTTCCTTAGGCCATCTCCAACGATTCATCAGAATCATCACCAAATTTGAATTTGGTGAAAAAAAGACAACTTTTTTTTGTCTCCAACGGTATCAAATTGAGAACGGCCCAAAATTTTCACCAAACTGAGGAGTTAGGGCAGATTTCACCATTTTACCATGTGTGTACGTTGGAAGTGGGGCCCACCAGACGACCGGCCAAAAATCCGATTGGTTATACCTCTGGTCGTTTGAATTACACAGAAAATGAAGAGCAGCAGCCATGGTTCTGATCTTGATTCTCCCAATGCTTCCACATTATATATTGTTTGTTTTGATTCTCCCTATGCTTCCATATTCACGGGCAGTTTTAAGTAAATCTTGCCGAGGAAACTTGGAGACTGGTAGCCGTTGAAAAGGGCACTTTTTGTGTAACATACCCCCTGCCTGGTCACCCTATAGCTAAACAATTTGCAATGGCAATTGTCCAAGCAGAGGTTCTTGCAATCTTAAATTGAAACTGATGGGCTATAATTAAGATCAAACCCATAATAATCTATATACGGAAGCTCCACAAATTTCATCTACTAAGAATTTGAACAAGACAAATTGAACTTAGGCTTTCAACCTTGATTCCAATCACTTGGATCACTGACTTCATAACCAGAAGGGCATGAACACTTTTGCTCTGGGGCATAAACACAAACACCATTCGTACCACATAAACCATGCACATTACAAGGTTGTGTAAAAGCCTCCTATTAAACCACCCACATTCATGTTAAATTATTCAAGCTATACAGCCTCAAATTGCCATCATAATCCATAGTAAGCCCATCATAGATCAATCTCAACACATTATCATTATCAAAATACAAACTGAAATACCCAGAAGCAAAACTTCCATTTCTCAACCCAGATATCAATTTCATGCTCTTGGTAAATGTTTGAAAAGGCAAAAGAGTATCAGTAGGAAAATCAAAGCTTTGCCAGAGAATGTTACCATTTGAGTTCTTCAAAACAAGGTTGCCTGTCTCAAGAAGCTCTGCTCTATCAACATCAGTAGAGCTGGTATTGGTCTGCCAAGCCATCAAGCCATCGACATCGGTCAGGACCATAGCTCCATCTCGCCGGAGAGAGAGGCTGGAGCCGAGGCCGTTGACGGGTTTGTCTCGGTTAGCCATCCAAACAACTGTTTTGGATGATTGTGTGAACCAAATTCCAAAACCAAAGGCATTGGTACCAACGCTATAGAACCCACAAGTGAATGAATTGTCTGGTGAGGTAATGACATCTGAATCACCCTCAACAGACAGAGAAGACCCTCTTTTCAAATGGTTCAAAGGCTTTGAATTTGTGTGTGGAATCAAGAAAGAGAATGTGAGAAACAAGAAAATGATTGAACCAGTTGGGTTTTTCATGGTTGAAGAACTTGGTTTTGGTTGAGCAATATGTACATATGGATTAAACGCAGCTAAATTTCTCAACCATGTTAAGAGCTTTTTTGTCTGCAGATTTTTGTTGGTTCTTATAGAAACTTGTTTGTGGATTTGATGTAGAAGTTTTAACAGATTGATATACCTCTGTCATTGTCAACACGCTTAATAGTTCTTTTCTTTCAGGTTTCGCAGGAGTTCATTAATTAATTGACCGATAATTTTGGTAAGAACAAAAAAAAAAAACATTAAAAAAAAAAAAATTTTGTGAGAATGGCAATCTTGGTTACTTGTGTAGTTGGTTAATTAAGTGAGAAATAGTGAAAAAACGTATTCTCATCAGATCTATATTTTGTACCAAAAGTGATGAGGTGTAGTGAGAAATCACATTTTTTCTTTTTTTTATTCATTCTAACATAATAATAAAAAATTATAAGTATTTCTTTTGTTTTCTAGCCTAAGTGAGAAATTACAATTATTTTTTTTTTCACCTCACCTCATGATTTAAATAAATTTCATCATATCCTATCTTAAAATACTCATAATTATTGTATCATATTTTAAGATTATTGTACTTAAAGATTTTTACATTATTCAATGAAAGTTTTCATACAGAAGAATATACAGAGATTTGTAGATGGTACAGATTATTCAGCTGCTTGTAAGTTATTATTTTTTGTTTGAGAATCTATGTTAAAAGTGTTTTAAAAATTAGAGTATTTTTAGCTTCAACTTAAAAGAAATTATATAATTAAATCACATAAAAATATTTATACTAATTATTAGGATAAATTACACTCTTGAAGTTGGAAAAAAATATGTTAAATTTCACAAGTTTGACATAATTATATTAAGTTCCTTAAGGTTTTAATTCATATAACTTTAATTCCATTTTCATTATAAATTTGTTAGTAATATGAATGAAAAAATAATATTGTCATTTATTTTACATTAAAATATATATTTTACCGGTTTATATTTGTGTTTTCATATCATCTGTATTATTTTTATCTCTTTAAATTTTTTTTGGATAATGGTCTCTTTAACTTTACTAAAAAGAATATCAGTATAATTATATTCTATCGTTTGGCTCATTTCACTTGGTGAGAGCTATCTAAAATGTGGAAAACAGTGCTTTTCTGGTCCCCCACATACATATTTTTTTGTTATGCTGGTGTCTGTAATTGTTAGGGAGTCACTAAAGGTGAAGGGAAAGTGTTCATTCACAAATGACCAGGAATGAGTCTTGAGCTTTGTAAAATCCCTGTATTTGATTACCCTTAAATGAGAGACTCATTATTGAAATTCTATGAAGTTTGTTTTTGTTCTTTGAACACAAAAATTTCCAACCTTTTGTCTTGTTTTTTTTCATCACATCTCAATCATCCATGGCATTGTCTTAATGCTTTTCTGTTTTCAGTTCCCTAGCACATTGACATGCTTACTTGTTAGCTGTAAGTTTGGCTTGGTTTGGTTTTTAGTTTAGTGCTTAAAAGGTTTTGACATTTGTATTTGTCAAAAAGAAAAGATAAAAAAGGTTTTGACATTTATCCTTGTTCAAAACAGTGTTGTTTCTTAAATAGTTATATTGTCTTTCAGGAATTCACATAGATTTACTTCACTTCGGCAACTCTCCAACAATTTTGCCCAGTTTAATAATTTGCGAGGCCCACTTCGTTCAAGGAAGACAGTGACTAGAAAGGTGCATACACACGCCTAATTTATTCTCCTCATGTAATATTGTTTGTTGTTAATCCTGATCTAGGAAGCAATTTCAGGATGCTGCGGTTATTAATGAATGGAGGTTTCTAAAGTTGAAAGAACACAAGGAGGGAAACGTTGAAGTGGAAAATGTAGCTTTTGATCGGTACATGCAGAATGTTAGTTTGCTCGAAGAGGTGCTTACTGTGGATTCTACACCTGAAGGGTCCACCAATAATGGGCCCCCTAGGAGTGAAAATGTTACAAAGAGAGTGCAAGACATTGTCAATCAGGGACTAAGGAAGCTTCAGAAAATTGAGTTAGGTAATGGTGACAATGATTCCAGTAAGCAAGTTGAACTTGTCGGAATGCAAAAAAAGGGAAAATCTTGGCGGGCTGAGAGGGTTTCGGCTTTAAGTGATCTTCATGATAAGTTGAATAAAGCTCAGAATGAGGAAGATCTGAAATCTTGCTTGGAGATGAAACCCGAACTCTTTAATCATCATCAAAGGACGAGTCAAATGGAAACCGAAGAAGTTATTGAGATATCTAAACAGGAGACTGCGAAAAATAAATTTTCACCTGGACTACAATGATAACCCTGCTCGGAGTCTATATTGCAGTAACTGTTGTACATTTATCTTGACAAAGCACCATTTACCTGGTACACAGTTTTAAGTGTCAAGTTGGTTGCAAGTATCTGGCATTGCAACCTCTTGTTCATTCTGTAATGGCAGGGAAGTACATATATTTTTCTTGCAAAGATTGACAATTTACTTGGGGTGATCCCAACTATAAGTATGGATCAGTTCTGATTCAATTGAGATGGGAATATCCTGGCTTAATACTCGAGCATTATGAACTCTGAAGTCTAAAGAAAAGTGAAAACTGATTCAGGGTGATCCAGGGCTAAAGACAGGGTGTTCATAGTGAACACTCACCTTACCAATTTACGGGTATTCAGAGTTTGTTTTGCTCGCCGCCAAGGATAAAGAGTGGTTACCTGCAGTGAGGCATAATAAGTTTCCAAATAGAGTCTCAACATGCAAATGTTGGAGCTTGATATACATTTTAAGCCCATTCCTGGACAGCTTAAGCTTTTGAGGTAACTGGTTACATAACAGTACAATTTACTGTTGTAGATTAATAAGCTTTTCTAGTCAAAATTAACTTGTGAGTACCTAAAGTAACAAGGTGTAAGAAATAATGTATAGAGAAAGAGAGAGAATAAATTGTATGTATTATTATTGATTGATATATATTGATATTCATTACAATGATTCATGATTCCTATATATAGAAGAGGGTGAGTGTGTAGTAGGTAAGGAGTAGGTGAAGTGGAGGTGGTAGTGGTGTAGTGGGTTAGGTTTAGTGGAGTAGGTTTAAGTGGGTGAAGTAGGTGATAGGTTTTAACAGCCCCCCGCAAACTCAAGGGGGATAGGAACTAACCAACTTGAGTTTGGAGAGAGTAGGTTGGCTGGAATAAACATAAAAATAAAAGAGGATAAGAGACACTGTATGGTCGTGTCAGACCATTGGTGAAGACACTGGATGGTGGTGTCATAACATTGTAGAGGACACTGTATGGGGGTGTCATAACGTTGTAGAGGACACTGTATGGGGGTGTCATAACGTTGTAGAGGACACTGTATGGGGGTGTCATAACGTTGTAGAGGACACTGTATGGGGGTGTCATAACGTTGTAGAGGACACTGTATGGGGGTGTCATAACGTTGTAGAGGACACTGTATGGGGGTGTCATAACGTTGTAGAGGACACTGTATGGGGGTGTCATAACGTTGTAGAGGACACTGTATGGGGGTGTCATAACGTTGTAGAGGACACTGTATGGGGGTGTCATAACGTTGTAGAGGACACTGTATGGGGGTGTCATAACGTTGTAGAGGACACTGTATGGGGGTGTCATAACGTTGTAGAGGACACTGTATGGGGGTGTCATAACGTTGTAGAGGACACTGTATGGGGGTGTCATAACGTTGTAGAGGACACTGTATGGGGGTGTCATAACGTTGTAGAGGACACTGTATGGGGGTGTCATAACGTTGTAGAGGACACTGTATGGGGGTGTCATAACGTTGTAGAGGACACTGTATGGGGGTGTCATAACGTTGTAGAGGACACTGTATGGGGGTGTCATAACGTTGTAGAGGACACTGTATGGGGGTGTCATAACGTTGTAGAGGACACTGTATGGGGGTGTCATAACGTTGTAGAGGACACTGTATGGGGGTGTCATAACGTTGTAGAGGACACTGTATGGGGGTGTCATAACGTTGTAGAGGACACTGTATGGGGGTGTCATAACGTTGTAGAGGACACTGTATGGGGGTGTCATAACGTTGTAGAGGACACTGTATGGGGGTGTCATAACGTTGTAGAGGACACTGTATGGGGGTGTCATAACGTTGTAGAGGACACTGTATGGGGGTGTCATAACGTTGTAGAGGACACTGTATGGGGGTGTCATAACGTTGTAGAGGACACTGTATGGGGGTGTCATAACGTTGTAGAGGACACTGTATGGGGGTGTCATAACGTTGTAGAGGACACTGTATGGGGGTGTCATAACGTTGTAGAGGACACTGTATGGGGGTGTCATAACGTTGTAGAGGACACTGTATGGGGGTGTCATAACGTTGTAGAGGACACTGTATGGGGGTGTCATAACGTTGTAGAGGACACTGTATGGGGGTGTCATAACGTTGTAGAGGACACTGTATGGGGGTGTCATAACGTTGTAGAGGACACTGTATGGGGGTGTCATAACGTTGTAGAGGACACTGTATGGGGGTGTCATAACGATGTAGAAGACAGTTTATGGGGTCATGTCGGACCGTTGTAGAAGACAGTTTATGGGGTCATGTCGGACCGTTGTAGAAGACAGTTTATGGGGTCATGTCGGACCGTTGTAGAAGACAGTTTATGGGGTCATGTCGGACCGTTGTAGAAGACAGTTTATGGGGTCATGTCGGACCGTTGTAGAAGACAGTTTATGGGGTCATGTCGGACCGTTGTAGAAGACAGTTTATGGGGTCATGTCGGACCGTTGTAGAAGACAGTTTATGGGGTCATGTCGGACCGTTGTAGAAGACAGTTTATGGGGTCATGTCGGACCGTTGTAGAAGACAGTTTATGGGGTCATGTCGGACCGTTGTAGAAGACAGTTTATGGGGTCATGTCGGACCGTTGTAGAAGACAGTTTATGGGGTCATGTCGGACCGTTGTAGAAGACAGTTTATGGGGTCATGTCGGACCGTTGTAGAAGACAGTTTATGGGGTCATGTCGGACCGTTGTAGAAGACAGTTTATGGGGTCATGTCGGACCGTTGTAGAAGACAGTTTATGGGGTCATGTCGGACCGTTGTAGAAGACAGTTTATGAAGACTCATGTGAGAAGATTGTCTAGCTCTCTGATTAATTTATCTGTTCCTAACTTTTAAAGTCTGCCGGGTACACTCATGTGAGCTATTTTACTTACTCTCTTAAGAACAGTGCTATGCTATCAAGATTTGTGATGGAACAATCAGGACAGGTTAGCCAGCTGGCATGGCTAGACGGTGTTCGGGATTGGCAAATATTACTAACTCGACTGAGTAAACTATCCGAGGTTTATGCTTATTGTGGGGCATTTGGTATCTTCAATGAGACTTCCTCAACCCATTGCACGTGTTTGCAGGGTTTTAAACCACTTTCAACTGAAGCAACGCTACTAGATGACTGGTCAGGTGGTTGCGTGAGGAAAATCCCTTTGCAGTTGGAAAGCAATGTTACTAGGAAAAATGATGTGTTTTTAAAAATTTCAGATGTGAAATTTCCAGCAAGCTCAAAAGAATATATTGGTCCGTGCTCTCAATGGTGTGAATCAGGTTGCCAGCAGAATTGTTCCTGCACAGCCTACGCGTATAATGCCGGTACGTGTTCTATATTGGAAGGAGCTTTGTTGAACTTACAAATCTCAGATGGGAACACTGCTAATCAAGATTTCTATCTGAAGCTTGCTGCTTCTGAGCTTTCATCTGCTGGAGGTAATGAGTATATGTAATAGGGTACTCTCTTTTTTTCTTTTTTTTTTCCTTCCTTGTTTAAATCTTAAAAACACACAGATAGACTCATCATAATTATATTCTTACGAATTCAGGGAACAGAAGAAAATTATGGGTGATCATAGCAGCTATCATTTCCCCGACTCTGCTTATTTCAATATTCCTTCTTTGCTATCTGTTGAAGAGGAAGCTCAAACAAAATGGTATGCATATGTTTCATCCACTTATTTCAATGCTTAGATTCAAAGAAGTCACCAAAGTGAATACTTATGCTCTGTTTGAGTAAGAGAAAAATATTTTCCTAGAAAATGTGTCCGTGTTGTGTTCATCCTTCCGGACATGTGTTGGACACATTTAAATGTGTTATATATGTATATGAAAAAAAAAATTAAACCAAACACGCTTCGGCTACATAGGAGGCATGAGGCTATTGCTTAAACACACATGAAACTTTATAAGCTTGAACAAATAAGTTAGACAATACAAAACAATATAACTTATAACTATTAAATCTTTTCATTTAAACTTTACAAATTAGTGTTACGTTATATTTTTAATTATCTTTGAATGAAATATTCATGTGTGACATACAATAAATATATAAAACCATATATTTTGTGTGTGTCCCCACGTGTCTGTATTTTTCTAAAATTGACGTGTTAGCTTGTATCTCATCATCTATCCATGCACCGTAACTTTACCCTCCTCACCTATCACTTAAAATTGACGTGTTACCCCATTTAACTTATCTTTGTGTTTTCCAAAGAAATGACGGAATCTTCTTGTGCTATGATGAACAGGGGCAAAACATTTAAGTGAGGATTTGGTATTATATGATTTTGATGGTAGTTCCAATGCAACTGATAATGAATCAAATACTGGATATAATTTGACAAGGGGGAAGAAAGATGCTGAGTTACCATTCTTTAGTTTCACTAGTGTCTCTGCTGCAACAGCTAGTTTCTCACCAGAAAATAAGCTTGGAGAGGGGGGCTTTGGTCCTGTCTACAAGGTACGATTGAATATTTAGACTTAGTGCTTCAAGTAAAGTTTGGATGTGCTTTCATTTTTTGTTTTCTGTTTTCATTTCTTGGAAAACACATAAGCTAACTAAGATGGTACATTTACACAATGACTACACCTTCAAGTTTAGTAACACATCATGATTTGGCTTTCCCATAACCAGGGTAAATTACACAAGGGACAAGAAATAGCACTGAAAAGGCTTTCAAAAAGATCAGGACAAGGGCATGAGGAGTTTAGAAATGAGATTGAATTGATTGCCAAACTCCAGCATCGTAATCTTGTTAGACTATTGGGTTGTTGTATTGAGCACGATGAAAATATATTAATCTACGAGTACATGCCCAATAAAAGCCTAGATTTCTTCATATTTGGTAAGTGTTTTCTTCTACATATTTGATGTCATACAAAATTTGAAATAAAAACTTTTCTGATATAAACTTGAAACAGATCCAAACAAGCGAGAAATGTTGGATTGGGGGACACGCATTCATATAATTGAAGGGATTGCTCAAGGGCTTCTTTATTTGCATCAATTTTCAAGGTTGCGCATTATTCATAGAGATTTAAAGGCCAGTAACATTTTACTAGACAGTGAAATGAACCCCAAAATATCAGATTTTGGCATAGCACGTATATTTGGTGGCAATGAATCACAAGCAAACACCAAACGTATTGTTGGAACTTAGTAAGTGAAGGCAAAATCTTATTTTACACACACACAACTTTTATGCCCAAAATCAATATATGTCATGAGTTACTAATTTATTTGTTTTTTAAATTTAGTGGATACATGTCTCCTGAGTATGCAATGGAAGGCCTTTTCTCAATAAAATCTGATGTGTTTAGCTTCGGAGTATTGATGCTTGAGATTTTGTTTGGCAAGAGGAATTCTGGTTTTTATCAGTGTGACTCTCTCAATCTCCTTGGACATGTAAGCAACAGATGAGACCTTTTCTTCTCTCTCCATTTATTTCTTTCACCTTTTTAAATCTCAGATAAGATGCATATCATCTGAATAATTGAAATTTTCAGGCATGGCATCTCTGGAATGACGGTCAAGTATCAGAATTGCTGGATGTGGTTCTGGATTATGCTTGTAATTCAACAGTGCTAAGATACATCAACATAGGACTTCTCTGCGTCCAAGAAAAGCCGACTGATCGACCTACTATGTCTGGCATTGTCTCGATGCTCAGCAATGAGGTTGCGCCTCTGCCAACGCCTAAGCAACCTGCTTTTTCTACCAGCCGAGCTGCGAAGGACACAGATTCATCGCCGAGAATGACTGGAACTTGTTCTGTCAATAGTGTAACAATTACAGTGATTGAAGCTAGATAGTGGTTTCATGCTTTCTGAAAATTTGTTTTAAGTAAAAATTATTATTAAATTTGATTTTTTTTAATCTTAGAATCACTGTCTTGAATTGCTTTGTGAAATACTTTTTCTCGTTCTTGTTTTGACGAGAGGAAACCAGCTATATGAGGCCACAATATAGCACCGAAACCTATGTTACGGGAATGTGGATTGTTTCGGTACGTGGAACGTTATACGCAACATATTTTAAAATGTGATACGATACGGATAGATTAGTATATATTACACTTAACAATTTAAGGTATTTTTAGAATAATTTTTTTTTAATTATTAGGCATTTAATAATTTTTTCTTTTCTTTTCATTTTTAATGTTTTTGTCTCGTCAAAATTTAACTTTTCTTAGATTTTAGTTCATTATATTTAATTTTTTTTCCTCCTAAAATTACATTTAAGGAAATATATTGGAAATTTTTTTTGAGAACACCTTGGATCACTAAATTTACTATTTTGGAGCAGAAATGTACTATGTTTCAGAACGTACGTATTAATATGTAATTCACTAGAGTATCAACGTTTTTGGTAACTGTTGGTTTTTTGGCTTTCGAAGGTTATTATTGTAATTGTGAACATGCCAGCAATGATCAATCAGTCCTTACAGAATGTTAATTGTCAACCAATTATCAGACGATTGTGTTTTAGTTCTTTCAGCCTTAATGAAGAGGACTTTTACTAGTGGCTTGATTTAGGAGAGTTAAGCAACCAACAATCAAATGAAGAACAATTGAAGTATTTCATTAAAATAAAAAACTTACAATGATCCAATTCAGCCTCGTAGAAGTTTACAGCAACAATCTACTTGAAACTACTCCTATGAACGAAGTGCAGTGCAGGAATTTGAAGTACAGAAATGTAAAGAACAAGAAATGTAAAAACTGGAAAGAAAATAAAGTAAATAAAACTAGTTTTTTGGATCTGAGTCTAAGGGTTTTTTCTGGAGCCTTCTCTGCTATTTATACTTTTCAAGGGTGACCATCGAACTGCACTTCTAACCGTCGAATCGCTCCTCCATAATCGCTGATCATATTGCCTTGTAGTTAGCTCCACTATGCCATCACCTGCAGTTAGGTTTCCCTCCTGATTTTGAATTTGAATGTGAGTAACCGTTGAAGCCATATCACTTTCTATCTCTTTGCTAATCCAGCGCTACGCAGATCTTGTAAAAACCAATACTAACTGTCACGTGTACGATCACGATCGAAAACTTGAATAGTCTTCCTGTATTGCCCTTATCCTGCCACACGTTGAATTGTAATTGGCTTATACAAAATATGTAGCCAACATTACCCTCCGCACTAATATACCCAATACTCGATGATATTAGTGGATCAAGGTCTTTTATCTACGTCTTAGAACGTGCATAGGCTTTGCATTCTTTCAGAAATGCAACCGTCATTCATTATTTGCATTAAATTCTCTTTTAATCTTTTGAACATCCCCACCACCTTAGTATTTGAACAGACTGATACATCTTTTATGGCCAAACCAATTCTCTCGTCTATTGATCGAGTATACGAAAAGTCATCTGATGATGTTGTTCTTCCTCGAAAGAACCTTTATGTATTGATTAGCCACCTTTACCCACCTCCTTATATTCAAGTCATGGAAGCTTTTGCAAACTATCAACCTTTGGATTACGCACCCGCTACTCATAATTCTCTAACCTAAAATTTTGCAAAAACGAACATTGGAAGCTCTTCTTCTAATTCACAATCTTCTACATGGGATGAGACTGTGGCTTTTTCTTCCTCTGGGCTTCTGGTTAGAGAAGCTAGTCAGAACCTGAGGCATGGGAGTTAAGAGAGCGAGTTAATCATCACTTTGTCGAGTTCACTGATCCTCTAGAATTCCCTTCTGATGCTCGGAGTTTGGTGGTTTACCCTTACGTTCCCATCGACCGCTAATGCAGTTTGGAGGACAATCTGCTTGTAGCATGGTACATATCCTCCATGCCTACAAAGATAGTACAAGCTACCCGACGTCCAGAAGAGGCACAAGGGTATAGCCCATCGTTCTTAGCCCAGAAGGCGAGGCTTTGCTCTTCTGACTGGCTTGATTGTGTTAATGCCCCTCAGTTTCCTCCTTCTTTCAAAATGGAAGCTTCTATACCTCCTCATCCGCAAAATCCCCACTGGATAGAGAGACTAAGGCTTACCCTTTCTGCGGACAAGGTTTTTCCCCCCTATAAGCCTCCACCTCCCCCTATTCCAGCTCAGCGAAAGCAAGCTTAACTTCTGCTTGCGGCTTTTTCTCACTTGCCTTTCAATGTTCTTGAAGACGATGTTCCTCTCAAGAACTTTCGATGGGCTTGTGATGTTATGACTCGAGGTTACGTCCTTAACCCCATCGCCCAAGCAGAACTCCAAATGTTTTTGGACCAACTCCCGTTGCTTCTTCATTGGCACCGGACTTCTGTGGTCACCACCCAATCTTTGAACCAACTTTCATCCCTTCGAGTTCATATTCAGTACGAAGCAGAGAACCTCATCGAAGAATATGATGACTTTAAGAATAAAGACTCTGCATACTGGGATGACTTGGATATGGATGAGCTGGAACAAGGGTTAAAAGAAACAGCGTTTGAAATAAAGGCTGAAGAACTCTTTTATCAAGCAAGAGCCCATTAATTTCAGCAGCCAAGCTTGGAGAAAATAGAAGATAGAATAAAAAAAGAACAGAAATTTATTGACTATAGCTGGACCAAATTCCATGATCTTGTTATATATTCTATGCCCTACTTTTATAAACTTGAATTTGTACCCAAAGAAGGCCTTTTGATGTAATTGCTTTTGTTTCAATACAGCTAAGACTTTTCTCTTCATTTGGCATCGTTTGACTTTATCTTCGTTTGTCTTTACAAGCAAATTTAGGGCTTCGAACTCAACAATCTCATCTTTCGAATCTAGATTCAATCATCTCAAATGAAACACTGAAAAACCAACATGAACTTTTCCAATTCATAGAATACAGTTGACAACTTTTGCTGGTTTTCATTTAGAATCAGTGCTTCGAATTTAACAACCTTGCTCCTTAAAGCTTGTTTTAATCATATCCAACATATGGTCATGGTTAGTACGATCAATCAGTTTTAAATTGACCATTTTTGCTTCGAACAACAGTCCATACTTTCAAAAATATGGAAGCCCCTTTCGAGGGCTGCACTGTTTTAATCCGAAACAACAATCTTTTCTGTATATTATCAAACCAACTATTGGTTTTGATACTTCGAACAACAATTCCCATCCTTAAGGGATCTCAAGTTTTGCTTCGAAGGATACTACTCTCATTAAGAAACTTAAAACAGGTCTTTAATCCCTTTAAAGTAAGCAAATACTTGAGCATTCTTACATCTTTAGGTATGGAATGTAATTCGAAGCCGGCTTCCCGGTTTCGAAGTCGTTGTTATTTGACTTTGGCGTCAAAATCTGGTTTCGAAGCCAAATATTTTATTTCGAAGCTGACATCAGTATCTGAGATGTGTTTCCCTCCAAATGTATCAATATTGAAGGAAACCCTTTGTATCTGTACTTTTAGTACTTCTTTACGAATTACACGATATATTTTCCAGACACAAAGGTTTTAGAACCCTTTTATTTCGTGCTCTGAATTCACTCGTTTGCTCAATACACAAACCCTTCTCCTCTTTTAACCCTCTCTTCCTTGTTGCTTGCCACCAATGGATTCTTCTTCTATGAAAGTACCAACTGGTGATCGTATAAGCCCAACAATGGCTTTGAAGAGATGTATTGAGGAAGAGATCGCCAAATTTACAGCTGATGGGTCAAGTGCCATAAACGGACGCCTCTTTGTTCCTCGCCATAGCGATAAACAAGAATATGTCCTAGGTTCCATCTTTCGAGAAGCTCCCGCTCAACTTCCAGCTTTATACCCTCATTTGGAGGACCACTTTCTTCTTTATGAAGAGGGGCTCAACTGGGAAAATTGGAGAATAAACTGACCTCACTGTTGCTAGCCGACATTGAGGGCTGAGTGGGAGGAATGGTATGACAGAGTTGTGCCTGCAAGAGAGTGTGACCTGCAAGAGCTCTGTATTCTCGACGCCCTTCGTCTTTCCAAGTTTATCATTCTTGAAGACCCTTTTTTGATTCTTGCTGCTCTTTGCTTTTGAAGCATGGCTTTTAATTTTTTTTCAGTTTCGGTATGGCATGATGGCCCCCACCGTTCTTGATATCTGCCATCTCTTAGGGCTTTCATCACTTGGTACTCCTTTTACATCCAGTTACCCAGACCTTTCTGTTAAGTTTTCCCTTCCACCCTTAAATTCCTCCTTCAGTGATTTTGTAAAGGCTGAAAATAAAAGGGAAGGCCCTATGAGAGATTGAGAACTCTTTTCCTTTATTTTATACTGGTTGTGTAAATTTCTTTTCTGTACATCATCTTAGCGTATCATGCCTGAGTTTGCGTCACTTGCGAAGGCCCTTGTTTTAAAGAAACGAATAGCTTTGGCCCCTTACCTTTTAGGCCATGTCTATAGAGCCTGCTCCCAATTTTGTGAAGGACCTCTCAACATCACTCAAGGAGGCCCTCTCTGGGTGCTTCAACTCTGGCTCTTTGCATACTTTACTGGCCTACATCCTAAGTGCTTGAAGTTTTTAGTTCAAGACCCTAGTACTTACGGAGAAAAGTATGCCAGAGTTGCTCTTTATCCTGCCTCCTTTGCCTACTACCTCACATTTCTTCATTAACTTCCTATTTCCCCAACTGCCACCTTCTTTTGCCCCTTTGATGCCAACAAAGGACCAACTTGGCTGCAAACATTCTTGGCTAATAAGGAGTGTTCCATCCCACCACACAAAGATATGTGGGCTTCCATTTTGTTACCGAGGGAACTGTTCATTGGTGCTTTAAACCCTCGAGCCTACAAGTGCATATTTGAGGTATATTGCCCTTCTCAATTTTCCAGATAATTTGGGCTTACTCAAGGAATTCCCATTCCACTCTACAGTCTCTCGAATGTCTATCTCACAGCCAGAGCTCTAAGAGTACCTAAATCCAAACTAGAGAATGCAACATTTAAGCTGTTGAAAGACTTGAGTGATTCAAATTTATACCCTTTATCCTCTCTGGTCTAGTTATAAAGAGATTTCAAAATTGGTGGACA